ACCCCCCTGATTCCTCATGTGACCCACGCTCCCCCCAGACCCGGGTCCCCAGCCCCTCACCGGCTGTGAACCTCCGCTCCCGCTTGCTGTAGAAGTGCTGGTAAGAGGAGATGACAATGGGGACGACAGGGACCTGGCAGGCAGGCGAGGGTTGAAGGGTGCTGCCCCACGGCCACCCCACAGCCGCCCCACGGCAGCCCCCCTACCTGTGCCTGGACGGCAAGGTGGAAGGCGCCCCGCTTGAAGGGCAGCATGGAGCCGCTGTGGTTGCGTGTCCCCTCAGGGAAGACCCACACCCGGACCTGGGGGGAGATGAGGGGCTGTCCCACGGCGAGACCGGGGGTGCCCCACAGCAAGAGGGGGGCAGCCAGTACTGCCCCACAGTGAGCTGGGGCTGCCCCAGATCACTATGGGGTCAACTGGGGCTGCACCACAGCAGCCCCAGGCAGGATGCACAGCATGGTGTAAGGCCCCCCAGCAGCCCCCCGGTGCCCCACTCACATCCTGGCTGAGCATGGTGTGGGCGGCCTCGGCCATGACGCTGATGGCATCGTGCGTCCGCTTGCGGTCGATGAAGATGATGCCGCCGAGCCAGCAAGCCACCCCCACGGCCCCCATGTAGAGCAGCTCCCGCTTGGCGATGGGCACGCAGCGGTCCGGCAGCACCTCCATCATCCCTGGGGGCTGGCATTAGCCAGGGGGCGGCTGTGGGGCCAAGGCAGGGGGGGCTACGGGGCTGGGGGGTGGCTATGGGCACACACTGATCCAGCAGCAGCACCTCTATCATCCCTGGGGGCGGCGTTAGCTTGGGGAGGCCAAGCTATAGGGCTGGACGGTGGCTACGTGCACACGCCGCTCCAGCAACACCTCCAGCGCCCCTGGGGGCCGCGTCAACCGTGGGGCGGCCGTGGGGCTGGGGCTCAGCAGCAGGGGTTGACCAGTGCCCATGGCGCAGGAGGCTGCTAGGGGGCCGGGGGCAAAACTAGGGGCCAGGCCGTGCGGCAGCGCCGTGGGGCAGGCGTACCCGGCAGGTCAAAGGAGCTCTGGTGGTTGCTGACGATGAGGTAGGGGCACAGGGGACACGGGATGGGGCTGTGGGGCAGCGCCGTGGGGCGGGCGTACCCAGCAGGTCGAGGGAGCTCTGGTGGTTGCTGACGACGACGTAGGGCTGCCGGGGGGGGAAGTGCTGGGCGCCCCGAACCGCCATCCGGATCCCGTAGAGGTGCTTCACGTGCTGCATCAGGCCCCGGATGATCCTGGCCGGGGACACAGGGTGACGGGACACGCCCCACACACCGCCCCGCGTCCCCCCGAGTTTCACGTCCCGGGACCGCAGGAGGTGAAGGGGGTGGCCCAGCCCCGCGTCCCCCCCGCGTCCCCATCCGCGCGTCCCCCCGCCGTCCCTACTTCATGTTCTCAACGTCACGGCCGCGCAGGGCGCAGAGCGGGATGGCCACCAGCGCCAGCAGCAGGATCCACCCGTTGTAGAAGCCCATCTTGCAGAAGAAGCGGAAGGAGCCGCTGCGCTCGTACAGCACCGGCAGCAGCAGCAGCGCCAGCGCCAGCGCCGCCGTCCCCACCGTCACCTCCATGGCGCCTGCGGGCGGCGGAGCTCAGGGCGGGCACCGGAGCCCGCGGGACCCCCGGACCCGCCCCCCCATCCGGACCCTGCC